GGGTCAGTCTAGCTCCCGCTATCCCTTCCCCTCCTTCTTCCCCCCCCCCACCAAAAGGTGACGTGTGGGGCTCCGGTCCAAACAGTAATCACTAGACTCACAGCTCCCGGCACTACTGTAAGTACAATCCTGCCTTGTATTCTAGTGGATTTATTGGTTGAAAGTTTCACTTTTGACCAATAATAAACTTAGTCTTTCAGTCTTGCTCTAGGTTGACTGTTGTAATAATCACCACATCTTTTAGGTATTGTACTTATCCTGGAGAGTGATTTCTTAAGCAGTGGGTCACCTGCCAATCAACGAGCAGAACTGATGGAGATGGACTAACGTTCTGAGACTTCCCCTTTTTGGATTTAATTACCTGTGCACGTGTATGAAATTGCAGGACGTAACCCCTCATCATTGCAGCGGTAAAGAACCTGCTTTCCTGTCATCGGGATGGAATACTCAAGGCTATACTGTGAAGAACTAGCCAGTGGGTTGTAACCAACACCTGCGACCCTCCGCCCCCCCCATCATCGGCAACGGCTACGATTTCAACACTCAGTGTCACCAACACCAGACACCCTTATATATATTAGTGTTGAATTCAGTTATCATTTATATTTTTCAGTTTTCATTTTCTTTAATGTAGGATTAATATTTCATATTTAAGTGTTTTATATTTTCTGTATAATAAAGTGTTTATGTTTGTCTGTTATTATTTCTTTTTCTATTCACTAATTTTCCTGAGGAGGAGCCAGCCTTGGTAATACTGTCTGAAGTTGTTACAGGACTGAGTAAGCCTTCACAATCCCTCCAGAACTCTCTTAGAGTCCTAGGTTATGTCAAAGCACCTTTGAAACATTGCTTTGGTGTACAGTTTTTTGAAGTTTGCAGTGATCTGCTGGTCCATGGGCTGGATGAGAGGAGTGGTGTTAGGAGGCAAGAACTTCACTGTTACAAACCTGAATTCCTTAGACAATTGGTCTTCCAAGTCTGGAGGATGAGCAGGAGCAATGTCCGTTAACAGGAGGCACTGGAGTGGCAATTTATTATCCAGGAGGTATTTCTTCACACTCGGGCCAAACACTTATGAACCATTCCAGGAAAATTTCCCTCGTGACCCATGACCTACTGTTAGCTTTCCACATCACACAATTTACTCTTGACGACACTATTTTTCTTGAACACTCTGGGATTTTCAGAGTGATACACCAGTAAAGGCTTCACTTTGAAATCCTCACTAGCATTACCACACAACAAGAGAGTTAGCCTGTCTTCCATAGGCTTGTGTCCTGGGAGTTCCTTTTCCTCCTGTGTGATGTAGGTCTTCTTTGGCATTTTCTTCCAAAACAGGCCTGTTTTGTCACAATTGAACACTTGGGGTTGGAATTTTTCAGCCTCTACATAGTCTTTGAATTCCCGCATAAATTTTTCAGCCTGAACTGGCACCCTCACAATGCCTTACAACACTGTATGCCACTTCGCTTGAATTTATTGAACCAGCCTTTGCTGGCCTTAAATTCACCAACATCAGCACTCGTTCCAGGCAGTTTCTTTATGAGATCGTCATGCAACTGCCTTGCCTTTTCACAAACTATCGACTGCACAACACTATCTCCCACTAACTGTTTCTCGTTGAACCACACCAGCAACAATTTCTCCACATCTTCAGTTGTTTGGGATCTTTTATTCGTTATCTCATTCACCCCATTCGCAACATCAGCTTTCATGATTTCTTTTCTCTTCGCCACAGTGGAGCTGATGGTTGATGGTGCCCTCCTGTACATTCTGCCGAGGTCAGCAATGTGTATGCCACTATCATATTTTTGAATGATTTCTTTTTTCATTTCTACCGTGTTCCTCACTTTCTTTACCAAACGACTGGCACTAGGGGCTTTCTTTGGGGCCATGGTGGCTTATTTAGCAGTCACATACAATAAACAAGTGTCAAAAACAATGGATTATTACAAAATGTTTCATATGACCTCGCAGGATATGTTCACTTACCGAGAAACAACACGACACTGCCTGAGAATGTGTGTGGGAGGCGGCTTTATGTGCGTGCTGGGCACTGGATGGGTTCCATACCATCGATGAAAATGGAGGAAATCGATGAAAATAGAACCAATATTGTGACGAAAAAACTCATCGAAAACGCAAATCAGTGATAACGGAGATCAACAGAGAGGGAGGGTCCACTGTAATACACATTTTTACTTGTTCAGGAATCAGTTGTGACCGACTCTGCATCATGTGTAATGCCTGTTGGTTCATGAGTGGCTCTGAGACAGAGAGACAAGTAGATAGACAGGAAGACAGAAACACAGGTAGACAAAGATAAACAGACAGAGATAAACATAGTGCTAGACAGATACAGACAAATAGACAGACAGAAACAAACAGATACAGACATGTTTATTTGTAATGGTGAAAAATAAATCCAAGGCAGTGCACGATCATCAAATGTCACTCCACAAGTGACACTCCACTGGCAGTGGAGTGACAGACATAGACAGAAACAAACAGATAGACAGACATGTTTATGTGTAACAGTGAAAAATAAAGCCAAGGCAGTGCACGATCATCAAGTGTCACTCCATGAGTGACACTCCACTGGCAGTGGAGTGACACTCATCTTACACCGTGCTTCAAGGAGAAATACTCCAGCATTTCTAAAACATTGCTGGGACCTGGTGAAAAAGGCAAAAATTATTTCTTATTTATAAATACATTTTTCTTATTTAAAAACCCATAAAAAAATTGGGGTGGTTTTTGGGGGGCTGGAACGGATTAATGGCATTTCATTTAATTTCAACGAGGAAAATTGATTTGATATACGAGCTCGATCACGGAACGAATTAAACTCGTAAATCAAGGTACCATTGTATGTCGCTAAGTGAGGAGAGGCTGTAATAATACTTACCAAGTCACAGGTTGCTTAAAGTTGCTTTACCAGTTTTGATAAAACAGTTGATCCACAATTTAGTGCACTAATGCCAGGAAGTGGGTGGTTGGTAACTGCGATTGTGGTGAATAGTGATAACTTTTTTTTTGTACCAAGATCTGTTAAATTGAGTTTTTACTATAGGTACATTTAGTGACTTGTAATGTCATAATTATCATGCCTATATTATACATTTGAGAAATTGTGGGGATATGCTAGGTTAAGTTTTCATACAATGTCACTTTTGTACATTTATAATGACTGTCTGTAATTTACAGTTACATGTACATGTATATAACTATAGTACAGTGGTACCTCGGGATACAAACTTATTTTGTTCCAGAAGGCTGTTAGAGTGCTGATACCAAAAGAATTTGTTCCCATAAGGAATAATGTAAATTAGATTAATCCATTTCAGACCCCCAAAAATACATTTATAAAAGCACTTAAATAAATACACTTACATAACTGTTCGCGTTTTGAGCTGTTCGTATCCCGAGGTACCACTGTACTACTATCGAATTGACATTCAAATTTCTTATGTGTGATATTATCTCTGTATCCTACATGAGTTGTATGTTATGTGTTTGTGGTGTATACTACATGAATTGTATGTTATCTGTTAGTGGTTGTAGGGATTGTTTTTCCCACAGGCTAGTCACAGGCTAGTCACAGGCTAGTCACAGGCTAGGTCTCTGTAGTTTCAAGGGATATATTATAGTGTTAAAAGCTATTAAGAAACACACAGGAAAGTAATGGTTTGTGTATACTGAATGGAAGGAACAGTTATAAGAGTTACCCCGTCATCTTACACATAAAACAAAAAAGAAAAGACCGAGTCATACCAGAGTGAAAAACATTTTATACTTTAACTTTGAGTATCTCTAAATATTTTCATAAATGTGTATTTTATTTTTTTTTTATTTTATATGACCTATACCTTTGATAGACACTGATTAATTTCTTTGACCTATTTGAAGAAACCAGAAAGTAAGGTTTCTTGTTGAAGAATTCTTTCTTTAGATTATTAACAACCCTGAATAACTCAAGAAAGTCAAGCAGTGTGGCATTTCCACTGGTTAGGTTAGGTAAGGTATGTTTGGAAACAGGACATGTGTTTCCTGACATGGGTTTTAGTCATATGTGCTTTTGGTCATCTGATTGAGGCCTTCCACTGGCTTACCAGTCCAGCCCTTTAAAAATTATGGTTATGATTGTAACCATGCTTTTTCCACTGGGTCCATAGGTCCTGTTCCTTAGGATGCAACCCATGATGGTTGACCCACTCCTAGGTATCTATTTATTTCTAGTGGACATGGGCAGCAGGTGTTAGATATACAGTACAGCCTCTCCTCAATTAACGACGGAGTTTCGTTCCTAAGACCACATCGGTAAACGAATTCATCGCTAAGCTAGGTAGTGGGTTTGTGTCAGTCATCTTTGATATTGTTTTAATGTCACCTTTGCACCATTTATAACATTTTAAGTATATTTTTAAATGTTTATACTGCAGTGTACTATATATTGTAATAAACAGAATAGAGGAAATCAGCTGTAATATACATTATTTAGGTATGCATACTGGTCAGAGAGCCTGTTGTAAGTCTGAATCGTCAGTACACGAGTACATCGGAAAGTTGCTTACCAAGAGGAGAGTCTGTACTGTATTGCCCATCAGGAATCCTCAGTGATTTCTGTAAATGGAATAAGATTGCTTCTCTTTCATTACCTAGTTTTTGGTATACTATACATTACTGTATCTGGTAGCTTTTCTGTTAAAACTTATATAGTTTTAATTTAGTATTGGCCATTGTGTAAGTAATTCAGTTTAGTATCAAATTTTTTGTTGAGTAATATATACTATGTATTACAGTTAGCTCTCAAATAAAGGTATTCTGTACAGTGTGATTTTTGCTAATGCAGTTGAAGAAGTACATTCAGAACTGAATAGCAGCTACTACAAAGTTCTTTTCACATAGTATTAAATTTATAAGAGAGTTGACTTATTTGTTAGCAGGAGGTTCATTTCTTTGTATATTCTTGTTGTTGATTGAAGATTTTTCTTTTTCAGGGGGTGGAGGCCCTTGAAGCTGAACATGTATACATTCTTATGAAAAAAGAGTACCGTATCTCTCGCAATGTGCGGGCTGAATGGTACCTCCGCAGGATCAATTCCATCATTTCTTTTCCAAGGAGGGAAACACTTGTAAGTATTTGGGTGATTTTGTGATAAAAGACGTACAGGGGCACTGTGGATATACAGTTCCCTCTCTTTGATGCTCCATGTTTACATTGGGTTTCAATTGAGCCATTGTTCATTATATTTGGTGCTTTTTACTGCTTTTTTGTTGTTATCGCTATTTTCGAATGACATTTGCATAAGGGAAAGGAGACCGGCTCCGTATTTTAAGGTAAGTATTGTAGGTATACCTGGAGATACCTGGAGATACCTGGAGATACCTGGAGATACCTGGAGAGGGTTTTGGGGGTCAATGCCCCCACAGCCCGGTCTGTGACCAGGCCTTGTATTGTGCATTTATTTTACTTTTATGTTTTTTATGCTTAGCTGTATTGAACACTTAATATATGAGAGTGTAAACATGTTATTAGGTGTTTTAGATGTATTCAATAATGGAAAGAGTGTTCTTTTTCACCCACTGGAAATTTTCGCTTATTGTATGGGCCGTGAACCTTAAGAGCCATATGAACGGGGCTCTCTTGTACTCTTACATATGAATCAAAATTTAAAAAATTCTAAATTCTTTCTGTATTTTCAAAATATTATCAATAGGCACTGTATATAGTGCATACACTATGGAGGAAGTATGTGGATGTTGCAGTCTGGAAGGTCTCCTGAACTGTGATGTCAGCACACTTCTGGCAAGTCACTAATTGAATGTATTTTTTTGGGGGGGGGGGTTACCCTACCAAGGGGGGAGGGACAGTTGGTATCTAATACAGTACATTACTACAAGTTTATTATTACTCTCAATATCTGTAATCACCCCAACATGAAAACACTGATTGTGTCTCCTCTATGTTATACATAGTCACTTAGGTGAGTGTAAGTATAAATTTAAGAGTTACAATGAATACAAGAGAATTGAATATCCTAAGTGACTATAAAATTTCCCAAAATGTTATTGCCTTATTAATCTTAAGCTAGTCTTAAGTTTGCCTGAAATACTCTGCATATTAAGGGAGCTTCCTACATGTACACCTTTGTACTAACATTGTATCATGCTGAAATAAAGTAAGTACATGTATGTACCTTATTTTGCAGCTTGCTAGACACTTTTTTTTTTTCCATAAAATGTCTCCAAAAACCACCCTGTGTCCTATAAACTGAAGGTCAGTGACAGGAGCTATAAATTTGGGGTGTGGGGTGGGCTGTAGCTCTCCCAGTTATATCCGATGCCAAGCCATTGAAACTAAAACAAGTCTTATAAGCCGCAAAATATGGTATTCTTCTTCTTATTTTTTTTTTTCAACAAGTCGACTGTATTCCACAGAAGCAGGGTGACCTAAAAAGAAAAACAAAAATTTCTCTTTTTAAATTTACGAATATATACAGGAGAAAGGGTTACTAGCCCCTCGCTCCCAGCATTATTATTATTCTTTCAACATGATACGTACTTTGTTTATACAGAAATAGGTGATGCTTGAGAGTATGTTGAAAGCTCATAGTTGTGCAGAACATTGTGAGCAAGCTTAAACCTAACTAGTGACTACAAGGGCATATCACTGTACAGGATTATAAGATAAAATTAGTTATGCTAGTACTGTACATAGGTAAATAGTTTTTATAAGCTTATAGTTTATAGTGTGTTTTGGGCAAACTTAGACTAGCATAAAGACTACATAATACAAGAAAAACAGATACTGATGGGAAGGTATTTAAGTGTAGAGTACTATATTACACAAGGTTTTGTCAGGAAGTCAAAAAGTATAGTTATAATACATGTTACAAGATTATTCAGTAAAATACAAAATTGAGGAGCATGGTGCAGTTCATGAGTTAGAGAAAAGTGAAGGTAGTTTTAGAAATAATATTAAAAGATTAGTTTCGTATACAGTATTACAGTATCAGTACATTGTATACTAGTTTATGAAAACTGAAAAAAAAAATCACTACAGTACTGTATTAATTTTAATGGATATAAATTATTCATTTAAGAAACTACATACCTAAATATATCTATTGGGTATAAAATATCCATACCATATAGAAGGCTACCTAAAAAAGTATTGTAGCTATATGCACCAGTTTATAAGGGCCAATAAACACATTACAGCACAGTTTTAGAATATATTTAATAGTAATAAAGGTACAACACCAACTTTCCAGACACTGATGGTCCAGAACCTCTTATAATCCATACAGATATATGAGCAGTAACTTGAAATTCCTGTGGCCGCCAGACTAGTTTACTCGGCAGCCCGCCTTTGGTGTCGAGTGTAGCTGTGCTCACTTGGACTGTTTACACTACACATGCTGGTGGGGAACACCACAATTCTGTGAGTTTCTTAGCTTATTTTGATTAAATTAACCGCAGCTATGGCTTCTAAGGGAGATGAGAGGGAGACAGGTGGTGTCAGACATAAACACCAGTCTATATTGATTCAAGAGAAAGTTGAGCTGTTGGGAAAACTGGACCATGGTGCTTCAATCTGTAAGATCTGTGAAGATTATGGTCTTGGTAAATCAACTGTCTATGTTGACCAAGGAGACCACCCCTGGTCCGGAAAAATCAGTGATCTGGAAAAGCTTTGAAACCAACAGGTCCAGAAAATTGATGTACCTGTAGTAATATTTTATTTCAGCATGATTCAGTGTTTATACAGAGATGAATAATGTTTAGTTGTGCATGCAGAAAGCACATAGTTATGCAGAGCATTTATGGCAAACTTAAGCCTGACTTAAGACTAAAATGTCAATATGTAATTGTTTATATATATAAGGACATTAAGGGTTCGTAAACAATAAATTTAGGACTTACAAGGTAAACAAGCTATTACTTTCTTCTGTAAGCCATATGTGTCATAAGAGTCAACTAAAATGTTGGGAGCAAGGGGTTAGTGACCCCTTCTCCTGTATAAATTACTAAATTAATCAAATCAAATCAAAGTTTATTCTCTATAAGGATTACAATGCGGGGTTTACAAATTTTGGTTATTGTGTGGGTTACATGTAATAAAATACTAATTACAGAGGGGGCCACTAGAACACCTAGCAAGGCTAGGCCTTTCGGGCAAACTTTGATTAATTCTTAACCCTAAATTATTACAAATTGTGGAGTAAGTTGACTAAATACTAAGTGATTAAATACAGGTTTGTGAGTTTAGCAATGTGAATGCTTTTGTTTTGGCACAATACATAGTTTCTATATTGGAGTATCACAGGCAAACTTGTGACTAGTTAGGAATCATTATTTTAAGATTAAGATACGTATTTCTGTGCTTATAGTCAAATGGGTGAGCGAGTGAGTGTAAGTGTGAACCACCAGGTGGTTTTTATATAGTTAGTTGACAGGGTGTATCAGGGAGATAAGATGTTTTCTAATGGTAGTTTTGAAGGTGATGAATGTGTCTGCAGTTCTAGAGTTTTCAGGTAGGGTGTTCCAGATTTTAGGGCCTTTGACATACATTGAATTTTTGTATAGATTTAGTCGGACACGGAGAATGTCGTAGAGATGTTTGTGTCTGGTGTTATGCTTGTGGGTCCTGTCACAACTATCAAGAAAGTACTTTAGGTTAAGGTTAATATTGGAATTTAAGGTCCTGTATATGTAGATTGCACAGTAGTAAGTGTGGGTGTTCTGAACCGGGAGTAAGTTTAGATCTATGAAGAGTGGGGGGGGGGGGGTGTTGCCAGGGATGGGATTTAGTGATTATTCTTACTGTGGCTTTTTGTTGAGTTATTATTGGCTTTAGGTGTATCGCTGCAGTTTATCCCCAAGCACAAATAGCATAGGTGAGGTATGGATAAATGAATGAATGGTATATTGTGAGAAAGGCATTTTGCGGCACGTAGTATTGTATCTTGGAGAGGATCCCAACGGTTTTGGATACTTTTTTAGTTATGTGTTGGATATGGGTGCTGAAATTCAGGTTGTTGTCGAGGTATAGGCCTAGGAATTTGCCCTCATTATGTCTGGCAATTAGAGTGCTGTCAATCTTAATGTTTAGTTGTGCAGCACCTGCTCTGCTACCAAACGTAATATAGTAGGTTTTGTCAGTGTTAAGTGTAAGTTTATTGGCTGTCATCCAAGTTGATATCTTGAGCAGCTCCTTATTAACAATGGTGTTGAGGGTGGCAAGATTAGGGTGAGAGATGACATAAGTCATGTCGTCAGCAAAGAGAATGGGTTTCAGGTGTTGGGATACGTTTGGAAGATCATTGATGTAAATGAGGAAGAGCAGGGGTCCAAGGACACTTCCCTGTGGAACTCCAGTATCAAGTGGCCATGTTGATGATGCTGTGTCTTTAATGGTGCCATACTGATACCTATTAGTAAGGTAGGATTTGAAATATGCAAGCGCATGGCCTCTTATACCATAATGGTCAAGTTTGTGGAGTAGGATGCTGTGGTCTACTGTGTCAAAAACTTTTCTTTGGTCAATAAAAATTCCTAGTGGATATTCCTTGCTTTCCAATGCTGTGTAAAGCAGATCTAGCATTTTTACAATTGCATCATTAGTGCTTTTATTTTTCCTGAATCCAAATTGGCAGGGGTTGAATATGTTTTGTGCCATTATAAATGAATACAGTCTCCTGTGCACGAGTTTCTCAAAGATTTTGGATAGCAATGGTAAGTTTGATATTGGCCTATAGTTTTTTACATCTGTAGGGTCACCACCTTTATGTATTGGTGTAACTTTTGCTGTCTTGAGTAGTTTCCGGAAGGTGCTAGTTTCTAGTGACTTGTTAAAAAGTAAAGAAATAGCATGCGAAAGGACATGGGCCGCTCGCTTGTACAATAATGGTGGGACATGAGACAGGTTCCCTGAGTTGTTTTTAAGTGACTTTATAATCTCAGTGACTTCGGTGGGCTCAGTTGGTACAAGATAGAAGGAATTTGGGAAATTCTCGTCTAGATAGTTCCCGGCATGGGCGTTGGTACGTGGGATTTTACTGGCAAGATTAGATCCTATGGTTGAGAAGAAGTCATTTATCTTGTTAGCTGTTTCAGTGGGATGTAGTGGTGTTTCATTAGGTTTAGTTAGGACAATATTCTTGTTTTTTTTCAGTTTGTGGGTGCCTAGAATCTGAGAGAGAGTTTTCCAGGTCTTTTTTATATCTCCTCTTGTGTCTTTGAATCTGCTGGAGTAGTACAGTTGTTTGGCTTTCTTTATTACTTTGGTGAGAACTGATGAATAGTGTTTAAGGATATCTTTGTGTATTAAGCCCTGTCTATATTGCTTTTCATATTGGTGTTTCTTATCAATGGATTTCAGAATGCTGCTGGTTAGCCATGGGCAACCGAGCCGTTTGTTCGTGATCTGTTTCATTTTTATAGGACAATGTTTGTTGTATAGTCTAAGTAATTTGCTAAGAAAAATGTCCATTCGTCAATACCATTGGCCTTGGAGAATTCTGTAGGCCAGTCAACTGTCTCTAGGTCTGCTGTCAACTTCCTTATTGAGGCCTCGTCATGGAGTCTAAATGAAACTTTGTTGTATTCCAGTGGTGGTTTACTAATGTTTGTTAAGAGGAAGGTAGGGTAGTGGTCTGTAGTGCTCTGTGATTATCCCTGATTTAAGGGGGGCTAGTATATTGGTCCATATGTGGTCTATTATAGTTGCACTTGTCTCAGTGAGCCTGGTTGGTTTAGTTATTGTTGGTATGAGAAGTGTGTTGTTCATATTGTTGATGAAATCAGTTACAGGCTGATCATCTAGGAGGCCAAGGTTGATATTGAGGTCTCCAGCTAAGAGAAGGTGGTGCTTGTTCATTTGTCTGTTTGTTATTAGTGCCTTTAATTTCTCACTGAAATTTGGGATGTTTGTGTGGGGTATCCGGTAAATGGCATCGATTGTTATAGGCTTCTTATTGTTTTTTACAGTAAAATTAGCAGAAATGTATTCCCCATATTCATCACTAAAGCAAGTGGTGCTGATTCAAGATAGTTGGTTGGAGTAATAGATTGCAATACCACCCCAACTTGGTATGGTCTGCAGTTGTGGATTGCTGTGTATCCTGGTAGTGGGTAGATATCTATTGTGTCCTGCTTAAGCTAGGTCTCAGTAAGAATAATGCAGGAGAAGGGGTGTCTTTAGCGACTCAAGGAGTGCCAGGAGGTCATCATAGTGTTTGCTTAAGGACCTGATGTTGTAGTTAAGAACTGATAGACTTTTGTCACTGTTTAGGATAGTGCTGGCTTGTGATGCTGTGTAATAAAGGCAGTTACTTTCCAGTAGGTTTTGATTGGGTGTTATATTTTGGAGGTTTATATCAGGGTCGACATGATCATTCATCCTCTAGGTTTAAATTGTGGTTATTTATATCCTGTATTGTGCGGTGAGTTCTAATACTGATATCTGTAGTAGTGGGAAGTTTGGACAAGTATATAGCTAAAGCACTTTGGTCATATAGAGTATAGTCAATAATAAACATAATGGAATGGAGTTGATATTGCCTTTGTGTTGTGCTAGAGTGAGCTAAAGTACAATTAAGTATAAACTAAAAATATAAAAATACAAATTAAAATAGCACCAGTCTCTCACTTGTAATTGCACTAAGGTCTAATATAATGAATTTGGTGTTGTCTATGTATTGAGCTAGAACGAGCTAAAGTACAACTAGGTTTTATCTAATAATATAAAAAATACTAGTTTAAAATGGCAGAAGACTCTCACTTGTAATTGCACTAAGGTCTAATATAAGTTGTTAACAAGAACTAGAGTATAACTAAATTTAATTTGACAAGACAAAATACACAAGTTGAGGTAGCAAAAGAAAATAAAAAATTCTTTATAAAATTCGTTATAAAATTTTTATAAAATTCTTTAGAAAATTTTCTTCTTGCCTCAGCGGGTGATGGCTTATACGTTAAAAAAGAAAGAAAGGTGAACAAGCAGTCAATCTCTTTCTCTTTTCAGAGAGACAATGAAGAGGAGCTGGAGGTTGTGTCTGTTATACCTGTGGATATACCAGCGGAGTGGGATTATGACACGTCGCACTTGTACAAGTATCGCATCACTCAGCGCACAACACTTCACTTCCTTTCCAGGAAGTACAGACAGGTGTTCTGCTTGGACCTGTCTCCCTCAACTTCAGTTGTTGATGTTACAAAGGCCAGCGTTGTGCTAGAGGAAGTTTTTTCCACTTTACGACAATGTCTAAAAGGCATAGTTAGGCCATTCTATGTACCAGGTTGGTTTATCATGTATTTTTTTTTTCAGTTTTTATTTGTTGTGTATTTAAGGCTGTGGTTATTTAATATTTCAGCAAAAAAAGTAAGTTTTTAGAACTCAAGAGAATTAAGTTATTCTGCCCAGAACATTTAGATTAACAAAGATTCTCTTATTTTCTTCTTTTATGAAGTTACTGTACTTGAGGTCAGATTTTTTTCAGTACCTCTTAATCTGATGGATTAAAACAACAACTGCAATTTCAGATTTAGCTTCACTTACAATTCATATTAATAATCTATTCTTATTGACATCTGTAATGGCTAAACCACCTGTGTTGAATTTAAGAAGATAAGAACATAAGAAAGAAGGAACACTGCAACAGGCCTACTGACCCATGCAAACCAGGTCCTTTTTTTCCCCCCTGGATTAGCCCAATGACCCACCTAGTCAGGTCACTTCCACTTAAGGAAGAGCAAGGCATCAGACCTAGTATCACAAGCTAGTCAGGTCTAACTCACACCCAACCACACTCACTCATGTATATATCTAACCTGGTTTTAAAACTACACAACGTTTTAGCCTCTATAACTGTACTCGGGAGTTAGTTCCACTCATCCACAACTCTATTACCAAACCAGTGCTTTCCTATATCCTTCCTGAATCTGAATTTTTCCAACTTGAAACCATTGATGCGAGTTCTGTCTTGGCTGGAAATTTTCAGCACGCTATTTACATCCCCTTTATTTATTCCTGTTTTCCATTTATACACCTCGATCATATCCCCCCTAATTCTGTGCCTTTCTAGAGAGTGCAGACACAGGGCCCTCAGTCTATCCTCATAGGGAAGATTTCTGATACATGAGATCAACTTTATCATCCTCCTCTGTACGTTTTCCAGAGCATTTATGTCCATTCTGTAATACGGTGACCAGAACTGTGCAGCATAATCTAAATGAGGTCTAACCAAGGATATGTAGTTGCAGTGGGGTGATCTGCAACTCTAGCTCTCAGCTCTTAACTTTCACTCAACTTACATAATTGAGCCCAGTCACACCTAGTTTTGAACCCCTGTATAGAATCTGTCTGCTCTGTCATTGCTCAACTCATTCCACTTTCTACTTTTTTTTTTCCCCACATTGGCCATTTCCTACCAGTTTAGGGTAATCAGAAAAAAAAGTGAAACATTCATTGTCATTCATTCAATAGCTAATGCAAACATATCAAAAAAGGCTTTCTAATATCCCTGTGACTCATTTGGGTGTGTAATTCCAACTGTTTCCCCTTGTTTTTGTATTATCATTGTTTTTATAACATATTCAAGGATTCTTTCTTTCAACAAACTGGCCATATCCCACTGAAGCAGGGTGGCCCAAAAAGAAAAACAAGTTTTTCTTTTTAACTCTAGTAATGTATACAGGAGAAAGGGTTACTAGGCCCTTGCTCCCGGCAATTTTAGTCTCCTCTTATGACACGCATGGCTTATGGAGGAAGAATTCTGTTACACTTTCCCATGGAAAATATTCAAGGATTATGTGGAGTAAAATAAGGGTTGGATGTGAAAAGTGGGTTATAGTAAGCGTTTATGCACCTGGAGAAGAGAGAAGTGTAGAGGAGAGAGATATTTTGGGAAATGTTGAGTGAGTGTGTGGGGAGTTTTGAACCAAGTGTGAGAGTACTTGTGGTTGGGGATTTCAATGCTAAAGTGGGTAAAAATGTTGGGGAGGGAGTAGTATGTAAATTTGGGGTGCCAGGGGTAAATGAAAGTGGGGAGCCTTTAATTGAGCTATGTGTAGAAAGAGGTTTGGTAATAAATAATACATACAAAAAGAGGATAAATAAGTATACAAGGTATGCTATAGCATGTAATGAAAGTAGTTTGTTAGATTATGTATTGGTGGATAAAAGGTTGATGGGTAGGCTCCAGGATGTACACGTTTATAGAGGGGCAACTGATATATCGGATCATTATTTAGTTGTAGCTACAGTTAGAGTAAGAGGTAGATGAGACAAAAGGAAAATGGCAACTCCAAAAAAGAGAGAGTGAGGTGAAAGTGTATAAAATAAGGGAGGAGGAAGTTTGGGTGAGATATAAGCAACTATTGGCAGAAAGGTGGGCTAGTGCAAGTATGAGTAGTGGAGGGGGGTTGCAGAGGATTGGAATAGTTTTAAAAATGCAGTATTAGAATGTGGGCCAGAAGTTTGTGGCTTTAGGAGGGTGGGGGCAGGAGGAAAGAGGAGTGATTAGTGGAATGATGAAGTAAAGGGTGTGATAAAAGAGAAGAAGGTAGCTTATGAGAGGTTTTTACAAAGCAGAAGTGTTATAAGAAGAGCAGAGTATATGGAGAGTAAAAGAAAGGTGAAGAGAGTGGTGAGAGAGTGCAAAGGAGAGCAGATGATAGAGTGGGAGAGGCACTGTCAAGGAATTTTGATGAAAATAAGAAAAACTTTTGGAGTGAGATAATCAAGTTAATAAAGCCTAGGGAACAAATGGATTTGTCAGTTAAAAACAGAGTAGGGGAGTCAGTAGATGGGGAGCTGAAGGTATTGGGTAGATGGCTGGAATACAGTGGACCCCCGCTTAACGATCACCTCCCAATGCGACCAGTTATGTAAGTGTATTTATGTAAGTGCGCTTGTACGTGCATGTTTGGGGGTCTGAAATGGACTAATCTACTTCACAGTATTCCTTATGGGAACAAATTCGGTCAGTACTGGCACCTGAACATACTTCTGGAATGAAAAAATATCGTTAACCGGGTGTCCGCTGTATTTTGAGGAACTTTTAAGTGTCGATGAAGAAAGGGAGGCAGTATTTCATGCACTGGTCAGGGAGGTATAACATCTTTATGGAGTGAAGAAGAGCAGAATGTGAGTGTGGAGGAGGTGCATGAGGCATTATGTAGAATGAAAGAGGTATAGCAGTTGGAACTGACGGGATCATGACAGAAATGTTAAAAGCAGAGGGGTTATAGTGTTGGAGTGGTTGGTACTTTTGTTTAATAAATGTATGAAAGAGGGGAAGGTACCCAGGGATTGGCAGAGAGCTTGTATAGTCCCTTTATATAAAGGGAAGGAGGACAAAAGAAATTGTAAAAATTATAGAGGAATAAGTTTACTGAGTATACCAGGAAAAGTGTACGGTAGGGTTATTATTGAAAGATGGTTTAGAAAGACATGTAAGCAAACACTATAACATATTTATTAGAAAACGTTTCGGTCCTGGGACCTTGATCACTTCTAACCAAGGTCCCAGGACCGAAACGTTTTCTAATAAATATGTTATAGTGTTTGCTTACGTGGCTTTCTAAACCAACTTGTCGGTATTTATTACCAAGGTTTATACCATTATTGAAAGAATTAGAGGTAAGACAGAGAGTAGGATTGTGGATGAGCAAGGAAGTTTTAGAGTGGGTAGGGGATGTGTAGATCAAGTGTTTACATTGAAGCATATATGTGAACAGTATTTAGATAAAGGTAAGGAAGTTTTCATTTCATTTATGGATTTAGAAAAGCTATATGATAGAGTGGATAGGAGAGCAATGTGGCAGATGTTGCAAGTACATGTATATGGAATAGGTAGTAAGTTACTAAATGCTGTAAAGAGTTTTTATGAAGATAGTGAGGCTCAGGTTAGGGTGTGTAGAAGAGAGGGAGAATACTTCCTGGTAAAAGTAGGTCTTAGACAGGGATGTGTAATGTCACCATGGTTGTTTAATATATTTATAGATGGGATTGTAGTGTTAAGTTAATTTTATGAAGTGTTGAATAAAATTATGCCGCAATTTTTGATAGTATAATCAAAACGTGCCAAATAAATCCATGTAATATGATGTATATGTATATGCAGATGTATATTCAGAGATTTTTTTTTTTTTTTCGTAGGGAGCCAGCTGCTTTTCCAACCTGAAGTGTACCTCACAATAATTGCTCACACTCCATTCTTCAAGTCGCAGTCTCAACAAGTCTTGGTCCAAGGCTGGCTCCTCATGGTGCACAACTTAGATGAATTTCTCGACAGCATACAAGTTAAGCTTACCAAGCTTGAGGCTCAGCTGGCAGAGGTAAACAATCTCGGTATACAGGGTGTCCCAAAAGTGTTCATACATAGGGAAATTTAGCAGTTTTAGCAAAATGTAATTTTATTTTACAGAATTCTCTGCAAGTGTCAAGTGTCAGATCAACCAGGCTGTGATAGATATGTGGGGCATCGGGCCTACAGTAACAGCCTGGTTGACCATGCAAAAACCATACAAGCCTGGCCCATGGCTGAGCTCTGAGAGCAGAGAGACACTTGAAACTCATCAAAATTATACAATAGTGTCATTTCTTTGTAAACACAGGTGGATGCCCCTCTCCCACTCATAGTGGACTTCTGTTAACATATTTGGTCTGCAACACTTCCAGTCTTTACAAATTTTGCAGTAAGTTTGGCAGCAGTATCGTGTGTGTGTGATGTGCTTGCCATATTTCCTGTTGAAGCTCATTGCAACCTGGTGACACTTTCCTGATCCAGCCATGAGAATGATTTCAGTGTGTTCTTCTTCTGACAAAGGCATTCTTAAAGGTTATCAGAAAAAAAAAAAGAAAATTAGCTATGTTTGAAGACCTTTGGGACACCCTGTAGTGAGTTACTTGAAGAATGATATATGTGCAGCATCTGGCGTGTAGTAAGTTACAGTGGAACCTCGTTTTTTCACCGTAATCCGTTCCAGAAGGCCGCCCTAAATTTGAAACAGCCTAAATTCGAAGCAATATTTCCCATAAGAATTAATGTAAATACAATTAATCTGTTCCAGACATCCAAAAATATTCACAAAATACCTTTTTTAAAGATTAATTATAGTTTTACATACTCAAAATGAGAACTAAATAAAATAAATTAAGAACATTTAAATCACTATTATAGGACACACGACCATGACACACGGCACAGATCACTTTTTGATGTACCCCGTGTCCACATCACACTATGTAAGAACTCTGTGCACATAAAGGGCCCCAAAATTTGGAATTCATTACCAGTAAATACTAAAGTAATCAGGTCTGAACATCAATTTAAGACTGTTCTCAAAAACCATCTACTCACCCTAAACTAAATATTCAATACTCACTACTTAAATTTGCCAAAAGATCTCCCAATTTTATAAATCTTAACACTTCAAAATTTAAATACCCAAAGTTCAAACATAATTTAATACTACATTGTAGTATAAATACCTGCACAAAACTACACTGCCTTACACTATATTGTAACATTCTCATACTGTAAACTACTTTCACCAATGCTCAATATTATATTCCAACAATATAAATTAAATATTTACTATTGGTATACATAACCTACAAAATACTTTCAAAATGTCCCAATGTAATATCCCCAGATTGTAACTTAAGTTAACTTACTGTCTGCTTAAAATGTACAACTTAAACAAACTATGATCAATTTCTCTAGTATTAACCCTTTGAGGGTTTTCGTCGTACTAGTACGTCTTACGCGTAGGGGTTTTTGACGTCCTAGTACGCATAAATTCTAGCGGCCTCAAATCTAGTGGGAGGAAGCTGGTAGGCCTTCATATGAAAGAATGGGTCTATGTGGTCAGTGTGCACAGTCTAAAAAAAATCCTGCAGCACACAGTGCGTAATGAAAAAAAAAAAACTTTGACCATTTTTTTGGAATAAATCAGCGACTTTGCAGTGTATTTTCGTATGGTATTTATTGTTGTATTCTAGTTTTCTTGGTCTCATTTTATAGAATGGAATACATATTACAGAAATTGAGATGATTTTGGCTGGTTTTACAATGAAAGGTGCCTTGAAATTGAGCTCAAAGTAGCAGAAATGTTCGATTTTTACCAAACTTCAAAAGTAAACAAATCGTGCCAAGCGTGCAATACACCTCAACTGGTGAGTCTAATATTCTTTCACAAGTGTACCAATAATATTTATACCATTTTTTACACTAATGCAGTAGTCTGCATAACAGTAAATCTTATATTTTTTGTGAGAATAAAAATTCAAAATGGAAAGCAAAAGAATATAAGAGAGACCTTGAGACGTGACTAATGACTAGAGGAAATGTCATTTTAGTGCCAGGAATGTCTTTCTTGTTTATTCTGGACCCTATTCGGAAATTGGCATCTTTTGAAATTTGTGTGAAATTGGCAAAATTGCTAAATTCTGACCACTGTACTGGATAGTTGAATTTCATAAATGGGTGGTTTCTTGCACCCATTCGATAGAAAAAATGGAGTTCTAGCGAAATATTCATGTTTTTTGTCGACTAGTACAGCGAAATTGGCCGAAAATGGGGCACAAAGTGGGCAAAATCGCCGATGCGTAAACATCGCTGAGACAGCTAACTTTGCGATAGCATAATTCCGTAAGTTTTCTATCAAATTTCAAACTTTTGGTGTCTTTATGATCGGGAAAAGATTCTCTATCTTTTCATAAGAGAAAATAATTTTTTTTTTTTTTAAATTTGGCCGACCCTGAGAACGAGTTTCGGAGAGGGCCTGTCGACCCTCAAAGGGTTAAGTAGTCTGTAAGCTATTAATTTAGTCTGCTCATAATGCCATGGCATGATAGTAGTTCTCTTTGTAGTGCAACTCATTATTGTAACTACAGAATCTCAACATAAACTTGCAAAGAATAAAAATTGTATTGTATTGTATATACCTTACAAACAAACAAACAAAAACACACACACACACAAAATTTATTTCTTTGTAAGATTACATTGAGATTATGAAATTACAATAATGAATTGCAGTGCAAAGAGCCGCTGTCATGCCTGGGCATTATGGGCAGACTTAATTTAATGGCTTACGGACTACTTAATACTAAAGAAATTGATCATAGTTTGTTTAGGTTGTACATCTTTTTTTTATTTATAGTAGACAGTAATTTTACTCTAATTACAATAGTTTCAATAATAAATATTGAAATTATGTTATGGTAATATAACACTGTGAGTTGTTAAAAGTAGTTTACAGTATGAGAATGTTACAATTGGGTGTAAGGCAGTATTGTTTTGGGTAGGTATTTATACTACAATGTAGTATTAATAATATATGAACTTTGGGCATCTAGATTTGAAGTTTTAAGATTTGGGTAATCAGGAGGTTTTTGGTAAAGTTAAATATTGAATATTTAGTTTAGGGTGAGTAGGTGGCTTTATTGAAGACTCCTTTTGGCTTATGGAAGACAGGGAGGAGGAGAGTTTGGAGACAGGACAAGATACTCCTTCAATATGATGCTAATATCAATTCTGTGGCTTATTTATCTATCACAATTGATCTAATATGTCATAATAAACAATATTAATAACATAGAAACATGATATATACTCTATAATGAATAAAATAAGTCATTACATATATGAGGAGTAAGTGGTGGTGGTGTTGGGTTTATAAGGGCCACTGAGAGAAGCCGTACATATTAGTGATAATGGAGGCAGCAGCAGAAGCCACCAACACTATTCACACAAACAATGTACGTAATTTATAAATAAGAAATATTTACATTTTAATTTATAAGTAAGAAATATTTACACTTTATATATAAGAAAGAATTTACACTTACTGTACCTTGGAGATGCTGGCATTAGTTTTGGGTGGTGGAAGATAGGCAGGGCAGTGTATGTTTGTGGTGGCCCTATATACCTCCAACAACATTGGAGGAGTCAGTTTCGTGTCGTCTATTTTCTGTCGCTTAATTGCTTAACTTACTTGCTACACTGTTAATGCTGGCTACACATGTCATAGAATCACTGAATCACATCAGCTTCCTTGATTTGTTCTTTCTTTGCCAGGATAGAAGTGATTGTTGATTTGTTTTTGCTGTGCATCCTGGCAAGTTCCAGGACCCATACAACACACTCATGTTTTTCTGTTACTTCCTTCTTAAATTTTATTGTGTTTCTCACTTTCTTTACCAAAGGAACTTTCTTGGGGCCCATAGTGACTTATTTCATAGTCTCACTTAATAAAAAACCACGAAAAACAATGGATTTTAAGGAAATGCTTGGATGAATGCGTGGAGTATGTGCACACTTGCCGACAGACAAAGGGAGACTGACTCACCAAAGCCCGGCGTCCCAGCAGGAGAGGCAAGCTAACACGTCTAATACAACCAATATACGAGGCAACGGCCAAAATACGAAGCAAAATTTTCGCCGGTAAACCGGTCTAAATACAAAGCGGCCGATAAACAAAGTGGCTGAAAAACGAGGTTCCACTGTACATAATGAATGAGACGCATGTGGAGCATCTGGCATGTAGTAAGTTAGTTGATGAATGAGACACACGTGCAGCATCTGGCGTGTAGTAAGTTACCTGATGAATGAGACACGTGCAGCATCTGGAGTGTAATAAATTACCTGATGAATGAGACACAAGTGCAGCATCTGGCATGTAGTAAGTTACTTGATGAATGATACACATGTGCAGCATCTGGCGTGTAGTAAGTTACTTCATGAATGAGACACGTGCAGCATCTGGAGTGTAATAAATTACCTGATGAATGATACACATGTGCAGCATCTGGCGTGTAGTAAGTTACTTCATGAATGAGACACGTGCAGCATCTGACGTGTAGTAAGTTACTTGATGAATGAGACACATGCATCATCTGGGTATTGCCTCTCCACCTTGTTGACTGTGTCCAATAATAGTCAGTTAGGTATTAAACTGAAAAAGCCTCTCAAGAAAGGTTCCTTGATGCTGGTGAAGGGCTCTTGATCAGAGGAATTGAACCTGTTTGCCAATTGCTTGAATAGAATCTGAAGACCTTCTGTTACCTGAGACACTGTATGACCCCCAGTGGGTTTAGCACTTCCCCATGAATATAATAATGTATGGGTGAAATGTCTTGTAAATAAAGATCCAGGTGTTGCATGTGTTTTATTTATCAGTTTGTTAATATTGTATACACTATATACCATCATTGTAGTAATAAGTTATTTAATACTGAAGGATAAAAATAACAGTTGTCCACAAATCAAAGTTGGAAATTAATCAACTTGATATGGCCTTGCCTGACTTGAAATGTCATCTCGTTTTCATTTTTAACCCGTAAACGGTCCAAACGTATATATATGTTTTTTCAACATTTGAAAGTATGTAAAAAAAGTAGATCTTCTTTTTGTTTTTTTACATTTGAAAATCTGTAAAAAACTTTGATCTACTTTTTTTTTTTGTTATATTTGAAAATGTGTAAAAAAAACGTAGATCTACTTTTGGAGCACTATACATGTGAACGTAGATCTGCTTGGACCGTTTACGGGTTAATTTGTGAGCATATTTCTAACTTAATAATAATAGTCTTGGTATGGTATTACAACTTTCAGAAACAGCTAAGCAACAGGATGCACAAGTAAACCGTGTTTACTTCAGTAACAAATGTTAGTTAACTAAACAACCATTAACAGTTAATTCATAAGTAACCCACAAATTGGAAGTCAGAGTTTATTTCCTCATGATGCAGTGACCTGGAAGGTGAATAAATCTGTAGTGGAGGGGAGGAGGGGTAGGGGTCATCCTAGGAAAGGATGGAGAGAGTAAACAAGGTTTTGTGTGCAAGGGGTCTGGACATGCAGCAGGCATGTGTGAGCATGTTAGGAGTGAATGGAGATGAAAAGTTTTTGGGACCTGACAGGCTGTTGGAGTGTGAGCAGGGTAATATTTTGTGAAGGGATTCATTGAAACTGGTTGGCTGCACTTGAGTCCTGGAGGTGGGATGTACAGTGCCTGCACTTTAAAGGAGGGGTTTGGGATATTGGCTGTTTGGAGTGACATCTAAACTATCATATCTGGGCACCTCTGTAAAGACAGTGATTATGTGTGAATAATGGTGAAAGTGTTGAATGATAGTGAGTGTTTCTTTTTTGGGTCACCCTTGCCTCGGTGGGAGACTGCTGCCGTGATTGGTGATTGCATGCAGAAAGTCCACAGTTATGCAGAGCATTTTGGGCAAATGTAAGACTGTAGGAGTGATGAACACTGCTTATACAGGTAGGCTTCACTTATACAGCAAGCAGTAGAGCTAGGCCTAAGGAATGTGTATACACTACACACATCACTTACCTTAAAATATTTTCGTCCTTAGCTTATAGCGAGTGGTGAATATATTTATTATAGGACATCTGACTAAATGAAGAATGGGTATAATTGAAAAACCGCTGTATTAGCAAGTCGCTGTAAAGTTAAGCATTGTAAAGTGAGGCTCTCCTGTAATTCCTGCTCATTTACTGTAATAATTCCCTCATTCTTTGAAAGTAAATTCCATTTTAATTGTCCCACTGGTTAGATGCCAAGCAGTTTATCATAAAAGAAGCCAAACAGTTTATCATATTAGTTAGAAGCCAAAGAGTTTATCATAAATTAGCTCTATCAAAGTCTAGAGTAGGAGAGAGGCCTGTATTTTACACAGTTGTTGTATTTCCCAACAGGCCACAGCCCAGACGTATGGTCAGATGGACATTACTCGTGAAAAATGTGATTTTGCCCAAGAGAAAACAAGAGAGGAGGCTATATTGCTGGGACCCACCACATTAACCAACCCAATGGTCTCTCCTGATATTGGTTTTGTTGACATGCTCAGATATGGCATTGTTGCACTGCAGTTACTACCAGAGAATAGCAGTGCAGGTACAGTATTTGTTTTTTTTTTGTAATTTTAATAGTTTCTTTGTTGCTGAATAATGCATGCTGTTGGATTGCAAGCTAGGCAGTGTTTATGAGGTAGTATACCTGTGGCTGGCTTTGAGTTTTTTCCTGCTCTTGCAGCCCAGCTTAGAGCTGAGCTTTCTGCTTATTCAACTTCAGATTTTTATTTCTTTTTATGCTGTACAAGGATAATGTAGTTTTTATTTTTAGCACACCAGCTGTCTCCCATTGAGACAGGGTGACCTAAAAAGAAAAATGGAAGCTTTTCTTTTTACATTAGTAATTTATACAGGAGATGGGGTTACTAGCTCTTGCTCCTGGCATTTTTAGGAAGAATTCTTTTCCACTTCCCCATGGAGATAGTGTAGTTTATATGTAATAAAACATTGTTAACCCCTTGAGGGTCCATCCCGTAGTTCTATGGCTTTGAAGTTAGGGTCCGTGTGGTAGTACTACATCGTGAGTTCAGCTCACTCAGATAACCTTTGAGTGGTAAATTTGGGCCTAGATATGAAAATTCTTGGACCCTGTGGACAAGTTTCGGATTGGGGGTCTGGACCGTGCAGGGGTTAAGCATAAAAGAAAGCCACTAGTATGTAAAGCACTTCTGGAAGATGATTGCCTGTTTAACCAGGCTGTTGCTTCAGCAGCCTGCAGGTCCATGTATCCCTCACACACTGGGTGATCTGGTGCTTGGTGGAGGCAGCAATCCAGTTTCTTGCTGAAAACTTTCATGCTTGTTCCAGCAGAGTTTCTGGTACCGGCTGGTAGCATGTTGAATATTGTGGACCACTGATGTTGACATAGTAGATGGAGAAAGCTGATAAGTGGTGAATCAGACAAATAAACAAAGTCTGCATTTTATTTAATGACATTTTGCCCATTATGGTGCTTTGGCAAGTTCGTGATAAAGGCCAACTATGGGCAAAACATTGTTAAATAAAATTTTACTCACTTTGTCTTTGATTTGGTGCAGTATTTCTAAAGGGATTCAGGAGCATCAGTTAGCAGGACTTGAGCTGCTTTCAAAGCTCAGGTCCTGCTAACTTGCACTAAATCCTTTGGAGTACAGTGTCAGTACTCTGAAGGATAGATGGGAATATTGTAGCTCAGTGGGTCATTTGAATTGTGATATCCATGGTTTTCTGGTAAGGCAGCTAGAAGGTGAATGATGGTGAATGTGTTTCCTTTGAGTCACTTAACCTTGGTTGGAAACATCCAGTTTATTAAACAAAAAATGAAGGATTTGTGGGGATAATATGGGAAATACAGTGCCTGCACTCTGAAGGAGCGGTGTTAATGTTGCAGTTTTATAACTAGTGTAAGCATGCCTCTGGCAAGACAGTGATGGAATGAATGATGGTGAAGGTTTTTCTTTTTTGGGCCACCCTGCCTTGGTGGGAAATGGCCAGTGTGTTAATAAAAAAATAAAATATTTCGTGGTGAGATATTTGAATTTTGATAACTGTGTACTTCTGGGTAGGACTAGATAATGAGCAGTGTGTGTACTTCTGGGTAGGACTAGATAATGAGCAGTGTGTGTACTTCTGGGCAGGACTAGATAATGAGCAGTGTGTGTACTTCTGGGTAGGACTAGATAATGAGCAGTGTGTGTACTTCTGGGTAGGACTAGATAATGAGCAGTGTGTGTACTTCTGGGTAGGACTAGATAATGAGCAGTGTGTGTACTTCTGGGTAGGACTAGATAATGAGCAGTGTGTGCACTTCTGGGTAGGACTAGATAATGAGCAGTGTGTGTACTTCTGGGTAGGACTAGATAATGAGCCGTGTGTGTACTTCTGGGTAGGACTAGATAATGAGCAGTATATACCTCTAGAGAGAACTAGGGAATAGGCAGTGCATATACTTCTAAAGAGGACTAGATAATGAGCAATGTGTGTTTTTTTTTCTTTGGGTCACCTTTCCTTGGTAAGAAAACAACTATTTCATTAAACAAATTTTATTGGTTTAACCCTTTCAGGGTCCAAGGCCCAAATCTGGAGTCACGGACCAGTGTCCAAGAATTTAAAAAAAAAAATTTTGTTATTTTTTCTTATGAAATCGTAGAGAATCTTTTTGTGAAGGTAATAAAACAAAAAGTACGAAATTTGGTGGAAAATTGACGAAATTATGCTCTCGCGAATTTTGATGTGTCAGCGACATTTACGAATTGGCGATTTTGCCGACTTTGACTCCCATTTTAGGCCAATTACATTATTACAATCAACCAAATTCTTAGCTATTTCACTAGTATTACTTCTATTCTATCGATTGAGCACAAGAAATCGCCAAGTCAACTGTTTCAACTACAAAATAAAGTGATCGGAAATTGTTAATTTGGCCAATTTAACACAAAGTTCAAAATATTCCAATTTCAAAATAGGGTCCAGAATAAACAATGTAGGCATTCCTGGCACTAAACTAACGTTTCCTCTGTTCATTAGTTATGTTTTGAGGCTTTACAAATAAATTCTATTTTGATTTTTTATTCACATAATGAATTTTTATTCACACCAAAAAATAGAGGATTTACTGTTATGCAGTACTGTAATAATTGTATAAATATCATCACCATATTTGTGAATGTATATTAGACCCACCAGCTGACGTGTATTAGATGTGTGAGGTCGTTTGTTTACTCTTGAATATCGGCAAAAATTTAACATTTCCGCTACTTTGAGCTCAGTTTCAAGCCATTTCCATTGCTAAAACCAATCAAAATCATCTCTATTTCTGTAATATGTCTTCCATTCTATCAAATGAGACCAAGAAATCGCAAATACAACTATAAAAAACATACGAAAAAACACTGCAAAGTTGCTGTTTTAATCGAAAAATCATGATTTCATTTTTTTTCTCTCATTATACACAGTGTGCTGCAGGATCTGTTTTATGTGGTGCACACATACCACATAGATGTATTCTCTCATATCTAGGCCCAAATGTACCACTCACAGTTTATCAGAGTGAGCTGAGCTCATGGCGTAGATCTACGGTTTGGACCCTGAACGTAAAGCCGTAGATCTACGGGACGGACCCTGAAAGGGTTAAATACATAATAAAATTACCAGGGTGGTGAATGTTGGAACAAGGAGGAGGCTGGAGGCAGTGGAGATGTTGTGTGTGAGGGCAGTGTGCAGTGTGTATATTATGCAGAGAATCCATAGCTTGGAGATTAGAAGGAGGTGTGAGGTTTCTAAAAGTATTATCCAGAGAGCTGAGGAGGGGTTATTAAGGTGGCTTGAACATTTAGAGAGGATGGAACAAAATAGAATGACCTAGAGGGTATATAAATCTGTAGTAGAAGGAAGTTGGGGTAGGGGTCATCCTAGGAAAGTTTGGAGAGTCAAATTAAAGTTATGGATGATAGTGTTCAGAGAGCAGTTGAACAATGAATAAATACACTTAGCTACTGTAATTTCAACAGATAAGATTTTATACAGTTATTAATAGGTACAATGCTGATAAAGTTTTACATGGAAAGGTCCTTAACCCCTTAACTGTCCAAACGTAGATCTACGTTCTCTCGTTCAGCACTCCGAATATTCTGAAAAAAAAAAAATTTGTTTTTTAAAAATGAAAAGGGCATTTTTCTACAAGTAATAGGATAAAAAGAAATTTAGGGTCAGTACTTACCACTTCTGCAAGCGGCAAGACTCCATGTTGCCGTCAAGTGAGCATCCAGTTCCAACTTCGCAGTCTTATATCTTGGTTACCTGGAGGTTACCTGGAGGTTATTCCGGGGATCAACGCCCCCGCGGCCCGGTCCATGACCAGGCCTCCCGATGGATCAGGGCCTGATTAACAGCCTAGTTGATCAGGCCCTGATCCATCGGGAGGCCTGGTCATGGACCGGGCCGTGGGGGCGTTGATCCCCGGAATAACCTCCAGGTAACCAAGATATAAGACTGCGAAGTTGGAACTGGATGCTCACTTGACGGCAACGTGGTGTCTTGCCGCTTGCAGAAGTGTTGCTGATGTACCTTTTTTTTCTCATTGTTTTTTAATTTATATAATTTTTATGTTCTGATAATTACAATTTGTAGTAGTTGTTGTTGTGATTTCATAGCCAATGTTTGTTCTGACACTAATATTAAGTACTGAAATAGCACTCATATAGTCACAATCACAACGACAGGTGAACATTTTCACCTGCCTTGGTCACATACTATTGTCTACAAATACATATATACAAAGTATTTATAGGTCACAGCAATGTTTTAGATGTGCTGGAGTATACATGAAACTCCTTGAAGAATGGTGTAAGACGAGTGTCACTTCACTGCTGGTAGTGCAGCAGTGGAGTGACACTTGATTGTGCATTGCCTTGGCTTTATTTGTTTTCACTGTTACACAAACATGTCTGTCTATCTGTCTGTGTCTGCCAATCTGTCTGTTTATCTCTGTCTTTGCTTATCTGTCTTTCTATCTGCCTGTATATCTCTCTTCCTGTCTCTGTCTTCTTGTCTGTTGTGTAATACCAACAGGTATTACACTTGATGCAGAGTCGTCATGTCTGATTCCTGAACAAGTGAAAATGCATATTACTTGCCAGTCATGCTTATTATTATCTACAAGCACAGTATAGAACGTTGGATTTTTTTGGGTTATCCTAGGTAATTTACACTATGTATAATTGTATTTATGTGTACCTGTGAGACAGACAGAGATAGACATAGAGAGATAGAGACAGAGATAGATAGAAACAGAGACAGAGACAGATAGTGATAGACAGAGATATAGACAGACAGACAGATAGAGATGGAGATAGAGACAGCCAAAGTCAATCAGCCGCCCGCCCACCCACCCAGCTAACCAGTCAGTCAGCCAGCCTGCTGAACATGTATTACACATGTTCCAGAGTTGTTTCTCTTTACTTAGCACATAGGTTATAGGACATTCTGGTAGGATGACACTACCAGTGGTATCATAATTGAAAGGATGTTGCACATGGGTTTTTGATATTTCTTCAACCACTTGTG